CTCAGAAATATAGACACATATTGAAGGGCTGAAATGTTGTAATAAATATGGCAACAAAGATGCGGACAATAGTCCGAATAATATAAATAGTGTACATAATACCTCATCTCAGAAATATAGACAGATACTGAATTTCCTTTGTTTCAGTTTATGATCTAATACCTAAAAAGCGCGAACGTAGACACAGAGACAGTTGCAAAAATTTGAAGGGTCAGAATGCGTCCCACACCTAGATTCTTTCGAGAGGCAAGCCAGTACGAGGCGATGAGATTCTAACCAAAGAATTGACATTCATTCTCCTGATCTCCCTCTCGCTTACTTCTACAAACCCTACTGCAACTACTATTATTTATATAATAAAGCGAGCTAAAAAAAGGAAATTATCCGTCGTTGATGCAGTCCCGTCAGAGTTTGAAGAACTGAACCCAGAAACAACACGATACGCAAGACGTTTTTCCTAGGTTTTTTGACTGATCTGCATCAACGCAGGCATATACACAACTAGGGTTAATATATTATATAATGGAAAGCATGCCCTCGTTCACGTTGATCAATGTTATGTATAGTATGTGCCACAGTATCCTGTTCGTTGGTTCATACTTGGCTGAAAAAGATTTCGTTCAACTTCGTCCATATGTAATGGTTGCCGAACTGATCGTCGGCGATTAATGGTTTAATTGTCAATAGATCATCTTCGCCAGACACACAAAGATTCGGTAATAAATTTCAGTCCAAATTGGTACAATTAATGGTAGAAATTACGACTCAAAAGCTGCAAGATTTACATTTTAGGGACAGTATCTCCTTGCAGTCAGTCAGATAAGAGATATGGTCCAAAACAATAGATAGTTATTTGTACGCATCAACATTTTTTAACATATCCTTGTGTTGCAAAGGTGGGATTTTCTTTGTTGGTGTTTACTTCTCTAATACTTACAGTATTACCAAGCTAGATGTTGCTCGAATTCCGTGATAGAACGAAAAGCGATAACTTCAACGTGATTTAACCAATAACTATTTTATAGTTACCACAATTGAATATGGTCATCTCTCAGGTCGTGCTGTTTCCGAAATGCAACCTGGGCATCTTATATGAGCCGTTGTCCCTTCAGGACTTGGGCGATCATGGATCTAAACTATTCCCTATCCCTTTTAGCTCTTAGTAAACGTTGTCCTTTTGCGATCTCTCCTAAACCTGTACTGCCAACCATTTACGCAAGCTCGTTAGAAAGCTCACATATTCGGTCCATGGTATCCTCAGCATCCTTCTGTAGAAATTTCAACTGTCTCTTTCTGATGTTAAGTATAAGGTTCCTTTTTGTTGCCATTTTCTCTAAAACATCGTCGTTGCTCACATATTCGGTCTATCGTATCCTCAGCATCCTTCTGTAGAAATTTCAACTGTCTCTTCCTGATATTAAGCATAAGTTTCCTTTTTGTTTCCCTTTTCTCTAAAACTTCGTCGTTGCTCACATATTCGGTCCATGGTATCCTCAGCATCCTTCTGTAGAAATTTCAACAGTCTCTTCCTGATGTTGAGTATAAATTTCCTTTTTGTTTCCATTTTTCCTAAAACTTCGTCGTTGCTCAGGTTCGGTTATCCTCTATCCTTCTAGAAATTTCAATAGTCTCTTCCTGATGTTTGTGAAATTTCCTTTTGTTTCACTGTTTTTTTGAAACACTTATCTAGGATAGTCACAGCAAAGGATGAAAAATCACACTTTGGTTTTAAAGAACATCAATTTTTGAGAAAAATTCTTAAAACTGTTTGGGATATTTTTGGTAACAAAAAATGGGTTTTTGCGGAAAAGGGTTTAAAATTTTTGGGCCATGAAAGACCTCTTCTTTCCAAATGTCCAACGGAGAAAAATGGCGTGTTTGGACTCATTATAAGGCCTTCATGCAAGGCACTGTTGAAGGTTTACGTTCTTTAGGACGCCAACGCAAAAACTGGTTGGACAATCTCAAACAATAAGCAGGTAAAAAAACTATTATTTTGAATTTGATGGCTATTGTTGATAAAGATTTAGCGTGGCTTCTGCATTCGGATCCCCCCCTACGATTGCAAAAGCCAAGCGAATGATGATGATGATGATTACCAATAAACCCTTCCACTAAAATATCTAGAAATTTCATCATCGCTGATTTTCTTTAAGAAAAAGATTCAATATGGCTTCTGCATTCGGATCTCCCCAGAATTGCTGACGGCTGCCGATGATGGACCGTTATGGAGCTGACTTTGAATGGCTTCTATATTCGGATCTCTCTTACGATTACAAAAGTCAAAGGGGATGATAATGATGATGATGATTCTCAGTATCCTCCTATAATCTACACAATTCTCTTTGGTTCTTTGGCCATACAAACTGTATTTTTTTGTCTATAATTTCATATTCAACATATCTAAATTAACCAATGAATGTTAGGTTCTCTATTTCTAGACTTTACGTTAGGTTTTTGGCAATTCATTTAGCGGATCGGAAATTATACACGGCCGAACTTTATGTTGCATGTCAAGAACCACGTTGTGGCATTCTCATTTTTATTCCATCTGTTGTTAACTAGGGCAAGAAATGGCTTATCAATTTTAACGCCTTCAAAACGAAAACTTCTCTCTATTCATCATCTGAGAGATACCGAATTGCGTTGTTTTGACAGGTACAATGTACGACAGCCCGTGGAAGACCATCATACAAGGCACTGTTGAAGGTAGACGTAGAAGAGGACGTCAACTTAAAAAAAAACTGGTTGGACAATGTCAAACAATGAACAGGTATGACTATACCAGAATTGCTGACGGCTGCCGTTGATAGATCGTTATGGAGGAGACTTAGTGTGACTTCTAAATTCGGATCTCTCTTACGATTACAAACGTCAACGGGATAATGATGACGATGAAGATGATGATAATAATTCTTAGTATCCTCCTGTAGAAACACATTTCTGTTGCACATAGCCATACCAACTGTTTATTTGTCTTTAATTGCATATTCAACATATCTAAATTAGCTAACTGATTTTGGATTCCCTATTTATAGACGTTACGTTAGGTATTTGGGAATACATTTAGCGGATCGGAAATTATACATGACCGAAACTTTATGTTGCATGTTAAGAACAACATCGTGTCATTCTCATTTTTATTCTATTTGTTGTTAACTAGGGCAAGAAATGGCTTAATAATTTTAACGTATTCAAAACGAAACTTCCCTTTATTCATCATCTGAGAGATACCGTATTTCCTTTCGTCATTTTGCCTAAAGTTAACCTCCAGGAGAAAGACTCGTTGTTCCTTCTGAAGCTGACAAAAAGTGGAGCGACAATATTAAATCAATTGCTAGGTCTGATGCTAAGAAAACTGGTTTTCTATGTCATTGAGGGGTGTTTATGGATGGTCTAATCTCGTTTGGACATGATCGCGGGTCGATTTAATTCAGTCCTCTTCTTCTCTTGGTCGGTGTCGCGAAATGTTCTTTGGGTTCAGAGACGAAAAGGAAACAAAAAAGAAAACTTTTAACTTACTTATTTTATTAGTGTCGCCGACGTACATTCTACCAAGTGGGGTTTGCAACACCCTCTATTAGAGAACCGATTTCAAAACACAAAATCTCACACGTCCATTTCCTTTGACGTGTAACAACCAACTTTCGAAAGATCCTTCACCACTGGGGTGGGTAGGTTGCACAAACGCAATCTAACACGTCTAGCTAGTTTAACGTTCAAAAACAACTCCCCCCAAAAACTTAATCTATAACTCATTCCCATATTAGGCTCAGCCAATTAAAATCGACTTGCTTATTTTGTCTACCATCTGACCTCAGAAGTGCTGAGTCAAAATATGTAAAAAAATTGTCTCAATCTATTATTTAACATTCTTACTATAAAAAAATCATTTATGAATTTTATTTCAACTACATTATATTTAATATCATGCTAGACATTTTCTCTCCAGAATCCATCTTACATATTTATATGTCTACCATTCGTCAATATGGGCTGTTGCTCTTGCTATATATTTAGAGATTCTTGATAAAATCCAAAGAATCCGTAACGTTACTGGTCCTGACATGGCACCTCAGTTTAGCCAGTTTCCCACTGTTGCTTCCCACTGTTGCATGTATCTCTTTTATAGATACTTTCAAGGTAATTGCTTTGATATACTTGCCGCTATGTTAAATAGACCTTATGAATCCAAGCGCAGTACTAGATTGGCGGCTAGGTCTCATCAATTTACAGTTCATTTGGCTAGATTCAACTGTATGTTCTATGCTAACAGCTTCTTCTTCTTGATTGCAGAACTCTCTTCCGGCTCCATGATTTCCAGCCAATTTTCACACTCATGAGCCCCTTGTGTAGTTTGGCTTTATTGCCTTGCTTGAGGTGAAATGATAAGAAAAAAATGTATCGAGAAAAAAAAAAGCACACCGTATTTGTGGTACAGGCTCTCAATTACGGTGGCTCGGAGATGGTGAGCTTCTTAATCGTAATTTTAATGGTTTTCAAACTTGTCTCGCTAGATAAGTTAGGACTGAGTAGCGATTTCGACCATCACTATAATTGAGGCCTTATACCATACCTAATCAATGTTTAGAAAATCACTTTATGTGACTGCCAACTGAAGAACAAATTCACATTTCACTTGTAAAGATTTGCAAAAAATGTTTACTGAACAAGACGTCACAAACCATAATGTAATCCTTTTTGCGAAAAAAAAAAACAGGTAGGCTCCTTATTGGACGAGGAGCGATGAAAAGTTTTTGCCCTGAACCACTTTGTAAAAATCTTTTTTTTTTTTGCAGGTTTCAGCCAACAACTTTTCAGTACACCCTGATGAGAGAAAATTACCCGCCGTAAACTGCTTTTAATTATTTCCCTTGCACGTTTTCATCCGCGTTTGATCTGCACTTCACATTAGTCGTTGATTCAGTCTCGTATCAGGCAATGGAAGCCATTTTGAGTGGAGGTAAAAGTGATCTCCCATCAAGAATTAATTATGCAACATGCACGGACTGATCTCAAACCTCTCTTTCTTTCTTTCTTTCTTTCTTTCTTTCTTTCTTTCTTTAATGTCCCTACCTATTTGTTATTCTGTAATTAATAAAAGAAGAAATCTTTCTTTCTTTCTTTCTTTCTTTCTTTCTTTCTTTCTTTCATGTCCTATTTGTTACTGTGATTATTCTTTCTTCCTTTCTTTTTTCCTTTCTTTAATGTCCCTACCTATTTGTTATTCTGTAATTAATATTCTTTCTTCCTTTCTTTCTTTCTTTCTTTCTTTCTTTCTTTCATTTCCTTTTGTTATTTCTTTATCCGTTCTTTGCTTATTTCTTTTCATTTTTTAATGTCCCTTGAGTGTTTTTTATTCTTTGTTTCTTTTCCTATCTTCAACCCCTTCCTTTCTTTTCTTTCTTTCTTTCTTTCTTTCTTTCTTTCTTTCTTTCTTTCTTTCAGTAGTTCTTACTTATTTGTTTTGTTTTCTTTATTCCTTTCTTTCTTTCTTTCTTTTCTTTTTTATTCAACCCTTATGTTTTTTTTTTTTCTTTCTTTCTTTCTTTCTTTCTTTCTTTCTTTCTTTTGTGTTTCTTTCGTTCTTTCTTTTTATTTCTTTCTTTTTTCTTTCTTTCTGTTCTTTCCTTTTTTTTCTGTCATAATTCGTTTTTGTTTCTTTCTTTCTTTCTTTCTTTCTTTCTTTCTTTCTTTCTTGCTTTTCTTTTCTTTTTTTATTGATATTACATCTTTGATTTTCTCTATTCTTTGTTTTCGATTTTCTTAATTTGTTCATTTTAGTATTTCTTTCTTTTTATCATTCTTCTGTCTGATATTTTCTTTTTCTTTCTTTAATGTCTTCACTCTCACTTCTTTTTTCTTTCATTTTCTTTTCTCTCTTCTACATTGCAACTTTACTTCACATTTTATTGCATTTTTCTCTTTCTTTGAAACTTTCATTTTTTTCATAGTTTTTTTTTCATTTCAATTTCTTTCACTGAAGTAATTTTTGGCGATGTTTTTCATTTTTTCTTAAGTGATCTATCTATCTATCTATCTATCTATCTATCTATCTATCTATCTATCTATCTGCGTATGTTCATTATCTATCTATCTATCTATCTATCTATCTATCTATCTCTCTATCTATCTGAGTATGTTCAGTATCTATCTATCTATCTATCTATCTATCTATCTATCTATCTATCTATCTATCTGTTATGGTCCAGGTTAGGACCAAGGAAGAACAACACGAACACAAGAGTAGAAATAACGAGTGTATATTACACGAAATAATAATACAAGATGTGGAAGGTGTTAGTATGACTGTCAGTCTGGTTTGGAGTGAACGACTATCGGCTCGACTCGATTCGTCCCTCTCTCTTGAGAGGCGTAGTATACATAGTGTTAGGAAGATTTCATTCTGTAGTTATAGGTAAGGACCCATGACACTATCTATCTATCTATCTATCTATCTATCTATCTATCTATCTGCATCCAGTCTGTGCGGTCGCAATAAATGTTCTTTTCGCATTGCAAATAGGTCTTTGTGTCGTATATAATTAAATGCTTTCGTGAAATGTATCACTCCAACAACCCGTATGTAAATATTATTTAATATATTTTCTGTTTATACGTCATTTATTAATATATACAATTTATTTAAGTAAATGCTCCGTTTAATATAAATTAATGCACTATTAATTACATTTACCGGTCTGAATGTTCGAGAAATTATTGTAAAATATGCGTTCTCCAACAGGAATCGAACCTGTATTCCTATACGGAACCGTCATTTGATCCGTCGGAGAACGTATATTTTCTACGAAATTTCCTGAGCATTCAGACCGATAAATATAAGTGATAAGGTTTACTTGTGTAAATGAATGACAGAACAGGGTTTATGAGGAATTACAGAAAGACAAACTTTATTAAGAGTTATGAAGGACAGATAATTAGGGAGAGATATAATCCCCTACGTCCTGAAGGGACACGGCACATAGAAGAAGAAGAAGATGTTCGTTTAATTTTCCTTCTACTTCTCTTATTAGTATCAGCCGTTCTTTGCTGATTCTGTGACCCTTTAGCGGTCAATAAGTAAAACCTGAGTCAGTAGAGAGAAGAGTGTTTGTGTCGACTCTGTGAAGAGAAGATGCGTTAATAACACAGGTGGAAAAAACGCAGATGCCTACAACATGACGTTCTGGACGTGTGAGTAAAGACAGATTTTTGTAACATCCATTCGCTCTCCATTTCTGGGTTGGAGAGTAATCATGTAACACATTTCTACACTTTGTTTAGCATGTTCTTATTTCTTTTGAAAAACAATTTTCATTTATGTTCGTCCGACTTCACCAAATCCATTATTTTAATTTTTAATGTTTGGATAAAGAACTGTACCGACTTCAGATAGATACATATATATACATAGATATGACTTAGACAAAGCTGACAAAGAAAACTGCACTATTTTAAATAGTGAAATATACATTTTGAAAAAAAGTTAATTCCCTTATTAAAAATGAAATTTTAATATACATATACACACACACACACACACACACACACACACACATATATATATATATATATATATATATATATATATATATATATATATATATATATATATATATATATATATATATATATATAAATGAAAAAATGTCCTAGCAACTGGAATTAATAGCGTTCTCTAAATTCTTCCAGATGCTAAGGACATTTTGTTTTTGTTATTATTAGTTACTTTGTTTAAATAAATTCATTTCATTTTTTGCCTTGAGAAAGTCCACATTGGACAAAACGCGTCGACAACTATTACAGTTTTCCTATTGTCATTTATATTTATATATATTGTCTTTTTGACAGGTTAACTCTGAGAAATTTTCATATATATATATATATATATATATATATATATATATATATATATGTATATAAAAAAAAGAAAGAACAGTAATGCTTTTAATTTAATTGCAAAATTAAATTCGGGGTTTTTAGCTTCTATTTTTTGAAACATGGTTGGAACTGTGTAGCGGAAAAACCATATTTTAAATCAATTAATTTATAATATATATATATATATATATATATATATATATATATATATATATATATAATATAAATAATAATAATAATAATAATAATAATAATAATAATAATAATAATAATAATAATAATAATAATAATAATAACATATACACGAATACAAGGTTGGTATAGATGGAATAAAATTCCAGTAACTAAAAACACTGTTTCTAAAAAATTGCTCAGTGCAAAATAGAACGAATAATATTAATTTCAAATCATAACATAAGGATGTTATAACATCACTACAAAAATGACTCCTATTTGGGTAGTGATTGGTTTTAAACTCTTTAAAAACTTTTTTATTTTACAATCAACGCCATCACTTGAAAAGACACCAGATGTGTTGAAACAAAATGGCTATTTTGGTAGTGATGTTATAACATACTTACGCTATAATTTTAAATATATATATATATATATATATATATATATATATATATATATATATATATAGAGAGAGAGAGAGAGAGAGAGAGAGAGAGAGAGAGAGGGTGTCCATAAAGTTCGTGTGCACTTTAAAAAATTATAATTTTATTTGTATTTGCGATAGAAATGATTTGTAAAAAGGATTAGAAAGAAGTAAATCTCTATTTTTTAAGGTTTTATTGAAATTTTATTTAAGTTTCCACATGTCCTCCATTATTAGCAATAGAAAGGGTAATACGATTTTGCTGTTCACGGAAAACATTTGCCAATTGATTTACAGTAATGCCTGAAATCACAGTTATTTTAGCTACACTTACGACTAGGTACATTAAACTTCATATCATTTTTTTATAGATTATTTCTATCGCAAATACAAATAAAGTTATAAATTATTTAAAGTGCACCCTGTATATAATGAATATATATGGATATTAGTTTGTAACCATCTGAGGATCGCATAAGCGTGAAACCCACCGTTACAAACATATCAATAACTATATATATATATATATATATATATATATATATATATATATATATATATATAGTTGAATTATAGTAGTATTAAAATAGCTGTCTTCATGCAAGTATCGTATCCTGTCGGCACTCCGGCATTTAAAACAAACAACTGGAAGAAGAAACCTCACCTAAAATAACCGGCTACTATTATGTAGCTGACTCAGAAACAGACAAAAAGTCCATCCGTTGCCAAGATTCCTCGGACAAGTGTAGTATTCCAGCCGGCCCTGAGTAGCAGCGGCGGCTCCAGCCGGCCCTGACCAGTAAAAGCGGCTCCTGCAGACACTGACCAGCATCTGCAGCTCCAGCCAGACATAATCAGCAACAGCAGCTCCAGCCGGCCATCTAAAGCAGCAGCGGCTCCAGTCGGCATCTAAAGCAGCAGCACCAGCCGGCCATCTAAAGCAGCAGCAGCTCCAACCAGCCATGACCCAGGAGCAGCCAGCCCTGACCGTGCAGCAGCAGCTCCAGTCGGCCTTCACCACAGATGCAACGATATGCGATAAAATGTGCTTTCCTGGACTACACTATTCATTGCACTACACTTTTTCAGTAGAACACTCTTCTGACTTTCTATATGTCACCATATTTTGGAATTGTTATTTTCTCTAACGACAATAAACTCGGCAATATATATTTTTTACTCAAGTCTTCGTTATGATTACCAATATACCACCCGCAACATAGCAAGCGGATCACCTTCTTCGGGTGTGACACGATATTTGGAATGGTTTTATCCAGGAGCTTTTTCGTTGCATGTTGTTGTAAACAATCCATTTTTCATTATATGCGATCATTCTTATGAAAAACAAAAACAAAAACAAATGGGTTGTTTTTGCTGTCTTTGAGTAGATATCTATCTATCTATCTATCTATCTATCTATCTATCTATCTATGAGCTCATATCTATTTATCTATGAGTTCGTATCTATCTACCTATCTATCTATGAGCTCATATCTATTTATCTATGAGCTCATATCTATCTATCTATCTATCTATCTATCTATCTATCTATCTATCTCAGTTAAAGGACTTCCCTTAAATCGTGAGGCAAACACCATAGAGATTCACGCATCCAAGTGTTTTCAAATGCCTTATAACGCACATATGAGTCACGTGGAGCATCTCTGCGATCTCTTACTCGTCTTATGTGACCGGGATTATTTTTAATCAGCATTTCGATTTCATCATCATTAACGACTTCAGGCCTACTGGAACCGACTCTGTCTTCTAGATCGAATGTCCCACTCCCGAACCTAACTAGCCAGTATTCTCAGCTACGGGACCATATCCATAAACGGCACATATCTCATTTGCTGTTTGTATGGTATTTTCTTCTTTTTTTTTAAATTAAAAGAGCATGTGATGACTAAAACGCATCTCATTTTACACTATTTTTAATTTTAACATAAAAACATGTAAAAATCAGAATCCACACGCGAATCGCATGGAAGGCGGGTTGAAATGTCACCTTTCCGAAAAAATATACGACTTCAGACCATGTGTGAAAGGAAATCATGTGTTTGAACTACAGCTTTTGAAAATCGTTACCTAATTTTATTCAAATCCAATAATCTTGAGCCATATGCCTTCCTGGGTAAGACGATAAACTGCATCCGCGTCCTGAGTAAGACGATAAACTACGTCCAACGGTAAGGCCTCTGCTCAGGTGATTTTGAGGAACGTGGAACCACCTCTTAATTGCTGGTGTTCCCAGGTCCACCCCGACCAGCGGTGGTAGCACCTGTTAGGGTCCCATCTATGGGCAAATAGTTAACACCCAATCTATCTATCTATCTATCTATCTCAGCCTATTAATATCTATATCAGTCTGTTCATATCTATCTATCTATCTATCTATCTATCTATCTAGCTAGCTAGCTAGTTATCACAGCATATTAATATCTCATTCTGGTACTATCTGTCTATCGATGACATTTTGTTCCTATCTATCTATCTATCTATCTATCTATCTATCTATCTATCTATCTATCTATCTTTTTGATTTCTTCTTTTTTTCTTCGCAATCTGAATGTTTTTATTTTACACCT